GGAGCGACTGGCAGTCGCGGCATCGACGACGCCAGCCATTTAAAACACAAATCAAATTGAGTTTAAAAATATCAATTAAATGGCAGCTGAAGTGTCATTTAATATTAAAATTGCGTTGATATTGAGAAACTGTGACTATTAATGTGGATGCGAGAAAAAGTTATAGCTTTTTTCGATCATCAACCTGAACTAAACTGCTTGAACACTGCGTCTAGTCAGAGCAATGTGAACTTTCAAATGATCTATAATATAGATGGCATTATTTGTACCAAAATGAATAGCTGTGGTAATATAAATTGGTCGATATATCTTTTGCTGGAAAAGCTTTCAAAACGAGGAAACCATTTATTTACAAAACCAGCAGATACTAAGAGTTCCTATTGCCACTATTGGACATATTTCTGAGTAACAATTCAACCCAATAGTTTCAAACATTATTCTATACATTATACTGATAAAGCTTAACATAAGTGCACAGAAATACTTTTTTCAGTTCTTTTTTCCCCATTTTTTAAATCTCCTATAAGTATCAATTAGTCAGACACCTTTATTGCTTGCCATCTTCTGCTTTGAGGCATGTGTTACTCTGGCTGAGGCAAAATAAAAAAGCATTCCTTAACAATTATTCGCCAAGCAGAATGAATGGAAAGGACGCCAAATAGAAGGATCTCTGTGAAATGGTGCTTTGCTCTGACTACTTACTCGACAAGCTGAGAGCTTTTTTCCTAAAGGGCGGGGATATTGAATTTCAAATAGTACTTGTAGATTTAAAAATCAGCAATTAACTTGAAAAGGTTGTCGATTTAAATTACAAATGAAATGGCATAAATCTGTTAGGGAAAATCATGCCTGAATATGCAAAAAAAATTCCACTTCCCGGTAGTTAGTAAAAGAAAAAAAAAAACAATAACAAAATATGTAATTTATAAAGCAAATTATTTTGCAGTGAACCTTTATCATACCGCATAAGGTATTCAATTTTTATTCAATCTGAAGAAGAGAAGCTTGAGTTCTGGCGTGTTGCTGCAGATTGTAAAGGTTTTTATATCTGTAGGTGAAAACTTCTGTTCTCTATATGTGCTAGTTGAGTAGAATCACGAAGCAACAGCGAGTATGTACTTTATGAACTGTTGTTTTAATTATCTAGTTGTAGTTCTCACTCGGCTCAACGAATGGCTTGCCTTGACTTTGTTTGCCATCAAACTTTGCTTTCACATGTGGAATACGAGTATGTATTCGTATGCATGAGCCAGCCAGCAAGTGCACAAAAGTTATTGCAATTTTGCCACTGAATGGATGTTGTGCAATCGCTGGCATCCTAACATGAAATATTTGACAAGTAGTTGCCAACTTATATTGCCGCTTAACATACTCGTTTCACTGTTGGCCTTCAAATGCAGGCCAAAAGCCATTTTTACTCTCTGCTCGGCAAGCCATTCGGAAATGTTAATTGTGCTGTGTAGTAAACAAATGGAGCATGTTTTCAAAGTTTTCGCCCAGCAACTTGTACAAACATACTCGTATACATACACGATATGAGTATACCTATATTAGACATGCAACCACTGCTTTGGGTTTTTTGTTTCTGTTTCAATAACGGGTGTGGTAGAAGGTTGAATGCAGAGTTAACAGCGAGATATGTAATGCTAAATATCTTAGTCATCTTCAGCATGAATTTGGAAGTTCTCCTTCTGAAAGCTCTCCAAATATTTATACCCAAGACTAATTGAATCATTTTAAATATAACACAAACCTAATGTGTGCTTCTGTTGCTCATTAATAGGAACAGCTATGCCTCAGACCTCAAGAAACTTCTTACTTTACAATAGTGTTTCTGCTCAATTGCAATTTGTCGGACAGCACACACGACATTAAAGCATTAAGCGTTAATTTGTAACTGTTATTAAAACGTACACAAGTTTCCGCCACAATGATGCAAATGCTAACAGACCAACAAACAACTGTTTCGCATAAATAAAATAAAATACAATTCATGCACGGATGAAATTATTTTGCATTTAAAATGCGACTGCAGTGGCAGCTGCCACAGCAACTGAGTCGCAGCTGCGGAGTGCCAGCGCCAACTAATTATGTGGAGTAATGATCAACAGAACTGGCGTAAGTAGCAGCACAGTGCGCATGTGACGTCATCATTCTGTGGCGCCCCAAAAAGTATGCTAATAATTTTATTGTTGTCCGCTGACACCGGCAAATTGCAAGACAATTGATGTGCTACATGCTGCATGCACAAGCGGGTGGGTGGTGCGTTGGTTGGTTTTTTGTGTGGATTCTATGAGTATTATTAACAAAAACTGCACACACTGGTGATTTATGGCATTCACTGGCAGAGCCGCCCAGATGCGATTCGCTTTACAAGCTCCACTGCTGTTGTTGGTCTGTCCATTGTTGCGCACACATTTTTATTTATTATTTATCAATAGTTTTGCACTTCTTGTTGTATAGAAATGTAAAAAGTTTTATTTATGCTTTTGTTTAAAGCATATTGCAGGTGTTGATGCATTATTAATGGCATTTTAAATGCCATAACCAAAATGTGTTTGCTGGTGTGTGCGACTCGAAATTTTTGCCGCTCGCCTAAAAATGCTTTTGCAATTTAATTAAACATTTAAATTTTTAATTATATTATTGGATGTGCGTCTCTCTGTTACATGCAACTTTACGCCAAATTTATTGTAATTTACTTAAGAGCTGAGCACGCAACACCACACCCTTCGCTCGCTCGCTCGTCCGCTCGTCTGTTCGTTTGTTCGCCAGCCAACAATTTACAGCAAATTGCCATTTGCTTGTTGTGTGTGTGTGTGTGTATGGGTGTGTGTATGTGTATTTTTAATGGACACGTTAATAAATTTATGCCATTGCATATTACACTCCATGCTGGAAATACAATTAACTCTTAAGTAAAATTGTTTGTTTAAATAAAATGCGGCATTTAACGAAATTATCATGCATTCTCGTATCTTGTACGGAGAAATCAACTGCCATATTAAATTCCCTGCTCCTTTTATGAAGGTGAGCTCTCAGCTTCCTATAACAAATGGCAACTAGTGGAATCACCTCAATTCTCTGATGGGTCGTTACACCGTTATATCATTGTTTATACAGACACTATACTTAGCAACAGAAGTGGGAGCTCTGACGAAAATGTTTTTATAGCGCTATATAGTTGATTATATACAACATTAATCGCAACTGCAACGCGGATAACTTTTGTTTGTCTACGACAATGCAAACATTGCCATTATCGTCGGAGCCAACATTGAAATCGTCATCATTATCATTACAACGTCTTCATTAACATTAGCAGCGTCAATACGCTGGGGCTTAATTAAGCTTGTGCTGGTGGGACTCGCTGCGTCGGCCAGAGTCTTTACTTTATTTTATTTGCTATGCCATTAAATATGGACATTATTATAATGCGGACACATTTGTAAGCGACTGGCTTTGTTATTCTCCTGCAAATTTTTAAGCTACCATGATTGTAGGCCTTTTCCAGTTGTGCTACAAAGAATATTTGAGCTGCAAGTTGAAAAGCTGTACATAAGTATTGGAAAAATCTATACTAGAAATACGAAAAAACTGGGTGCATAACGAAAGTTACAGAGTGAAAGCTATTTCCACTTCTACAAAGTTAAGTACTTTGAAAAGATCAATAAAGAATATAAGTATATATTCCAATTACAAATGTTTGACTGAAATAAGTCAGTCCGTTTGATGTAAACCCACCAAAAGTATAAGAAAAACAAGAGAGAACGCTACAGTCGAGCAAGCCCGACAGTGTAATACCCTGTACCCAGGTAAACTTCCGTCACTGAGTTATAAGCGCCCATAGCAGCAGCAAAAAGAGGAAGAAGAAGAGCGAACTTGTTGCTGCAGTTTGGGGGGGTTGTACTGGTGAGAATTTGTTTTGCTAATAACTTTTCTTAGAATTGACTATATAGATAATTGTATAGAAATTATGTGTGCAAAGTTTGGTTTAGGTAGCTTTTGAAATGTGGACGCTATTGACGAAATTCTGTAGCGGGGGAAGGGGGGGGGGGGGGGGGGGAATTAAAAAAAAAACATAAACTCGTCCTTACTCGGACCTAGGAGAATCTGGATGCCAACTTTGGTTATTCTACCTTTTATAGTTTCCGAGATCCTTGCGTTCATCCAGACGGACGGACAGACGGACGGACAGACGGACGGACAGACGGACGGACAGACGGACAGACGGACGGACATGTCTAGATCGATTTCTCTCGTCAAGCTGATCAAGAATATATGTACTTTATGGGGTCGGAGATGCTTCCTTCTGTATGTTACATACTTTGCACAAACCTAATATACCCTTTTTACCCTACGGGTACAGGGTATAACAACACAAAGCTCGAGATATGTTAAAAACTTCTAGATATACGGTAGAAGGAATTTCTAGTATAGAATTTATTGTTTTAAGGGCTGCCTTATTTAAATTGGGGGCACCTTTAATATGTGCCTTCCCAGTACAGTTTTAAGGCAATCGAGCAACTTTATTCAAACAATAGCCTTATGAATAAAATACTGGCAACAAAAAACAAAGGACAAATCCCGCTGAATGTAAAATATAAAAATTGAACAGAAACGAGTTCAGATAAGCTTCACATAAGGAATAGTTAATGCACCTAATGCCATAGAAAATAATATTAATCGAATAATAAATAAATAAACACCTAATCTAGTTTGCAGTATAACATTAACCAAATAAAAAGATATACATATTCAAGCTAATAAAGAAGAAAATATTGAATATGTGTATACAATGAATATATATGGAATGTTCATTCCATTGTTATCACACTCCATTATGTTAATAGGTGTATTATGTTGTTATTAGATGTAAAACATTTTCAAAAACTTGCAGCTCTTGAGTAATTTGTCATATGCCTTGAGAATCCTCAATTTTACGTTTCAGTTTGTTTTTGTTCGTTGTTGCAACACCAACACATTTTTACACAACTTGTTTTTATTTTGTTTTTTGTTCTTTTGTTGGAATACTAACGTTTCGTTGTTGGTTTCTTTTAAAACTTTATTAGCGTTGTTAGTTACTCAACATGAAATTGGACAGTACGTTAAACGATCGCGAGGACATGCGCTTCAAGACACTCTTCCATCGACAAATCGTGGAGATAGCGCGTCACATGCCCTTCAGCGAAACGGAGGTGTCTAGCATACTGATGGTCTACTATAAGTTTGCAAAAGGCCACGGGAAGCCGGGTCGCAATATTTCGCTGGAACAATTCATCAACATGATTGGCTTCTTCCAGCAATATTACGACTTCGATCAGGCAAATCGAATTGCAACCGTGGCGGCCAATGGGGGGAAAGCCATGACAGCCATGGACTTTGTGAACTTCATGTATATCATTACGACAGACGATCTGGAGGCGAAAATAGACTTTGCCTATAAGGTAAGTGTGACAGGGAGGTGATCGAAGGAGCTTGAGTCTCTGAATAATACTGTCCTCCGCAGGTGTACGATAAGGCTGACAAGGGCATCAATCGCTTTGTGGTGACCAGCGCTGTGACCAAGTTCTTCACGGTCGGTGATGACGATGAGCTGAACGAGTTGCGCAAGGACATGGCCGATTTTCTAATCCTCAAATTCGATTTGGATCGCGATGGCGTCATCACATTTGACGAGTACAAAACGGTTGTCATGCGCAACCCGGCGCTTCTGGAGTTCCTCGGGCCCATATTTCCCTCTACGGGCACGCGCCAGCTGATCGCCTACTGCACGGCTATAACATCGCTTATACCAGAGCTCCGAGCACAAGTCTAGCAGCGGATAGTCCCCCATTTCGCACTTTAGTGCTAGTAACTAAAGGCAGGCTTTGCTGCCTTGGCAAATTGTTGTAAATCTTTCTGAGGCACAAATAAATCGAAAGCAATGCAACTCTACTCCACATTTCGCCTCCCCCGCCACCTCCCCAGTCGGCAACCACTCGAAAATGTCAATGACAATGATGATGAACTGCAAAATAGAGCGCTGACAGCTGGCAACGAGGCACAAGCCAGCTAGCGATGGATGGACAGATGAATGCTTGGCTGCTGTACGGAGCACGTTGGCATGACAATCTATATAGTATACTCGTAAGTATATATGAAGACGACTACTTGTATGTGTGGAATATGCGACAAGTAGTGGCAAGCACTGGGCGGCACAATGCAGCGATGGCGCGCATGTGGCATAATTTCAAATATGGCGGTGCTCCAGAAATACTTTGAACTGGCGGAACGGTTCACTGGTTGGCTGCCTAACTGCCTGACAGCCTGACTGCCTAGACTGACAAACCAACTAACTGACTGACTGGCTGTCTGGCTCTCAGCTGGTTGACAGCTTGATTTGTTGGCAGTTGGCACACAATTGACGTTTGATGGATGGTGTACTACATTGTCGGGACATTCGTTTTTGCCAGAGCCAGCAGCAGAGCTCTTTAGTTTCCTCTGCCTTTTGTTCTAATTACTTCGAGACAAACTTTCAATTGCATTTTATTTGCAGTCACAGTCACAATTACATTTGCTGCCTTTCGCCAACTCGACTCTGTTGGCCCCATTTCGAGCCCCCGTTGCACTGTTGAAAAGTTAACTGGGGGATTTGACAGAGTTAATTTGATTATTTGCATAATTTATGGGTTTCTCTTTAATGAACTTGCCGTTCGGCATGGCAAATATTTTAAATTGAATTTTGATTGTCAACATTCATTTTTAGTGCAACAACAAGACTATTGAACTGAGCCCGCAGCAATGCGATGCATAATAAACAAATTAGTCAATGGCTGCGGAATGCACTTTAATCCACGGAGTTTTAGAATCTATTGCAGTTTGTTGAAAAGCAGTTGAACCCCTTGACATGATCAATAAAATACAAAATGTTGTTAAATATTCCTTCTGAGCGAAAACACCTGCACTTTATTGACTGATAATGTTTGAGTTTTCTACTGCTCTGTAACACAAATCTCTTACAATCCACTTAGACGGTTCAGAAAGCTTTTGAACAAACTTCGTAAAATAACTTCCAACACCTTATCAGCAATATTGCACTTGAGTGAGAGAAATGGACGACATTATGTTTGAAATTTGAACACCTTTCCTTTTCCGTGTATACTGAATATATTCAAAATGGCATTACTTGACCTCGCCTGTTGCCATCTGGCTTATTAAATAATATTTGCAAGAAGTTTGTGCTTTTGAAAAATACAAAATACGAAAAGTTATGGCATCATGCGACTTTGCATTCCGCCTCCACTCTTCAGTTGATGTCGATAGTGAACAAAATAACAGAAAGTTTTGCGTATTACAAAACTTTTTTGTTTAAATAAAAAATGAGACAAAGTCTACAAAACTGACGAGTGCCAAAGGACACGGCACACGGATTCGACTAGAAAGGCAACTACTACTACTGTAAAGAATAAAAAATAATACACAAACAAAAAAGCCAACAACAATGACAACCACGACAACGTGCTGCTCGAATGATGTATATACGTATAAATAAAACTAACAGCAGTTTTTCCACTACTTTTCACGTTTTCTAGCCAGTGCGCCATTCCCATCGTCGTATTTTTTACGTGCCTCTGCTTCACCTGAGCCTGTCCCGCCAGCGTACAACTTTTGGCGTTATGAAAACTTTTGTAGATTTCAAAACGCAACAAAACGAAACAAAACTCTTGTATCAACACACACACATTTGAACTCTCGCATTAGCAAGACACACTCAAACAGACACAATTGCGAACGTTTTTGTTGGAGCTCAATTAGCAAGATTGGCCAAAAAGGGAAAAGTCGAGGAAAAAATTGACTGTCAGGCCAGACCGCTCCTCATCTCCTACATACAAGTACTATATAGTACGAGCACTTGTATGTGGGCTCAGGAGCTGGCACAACCAGAGCAAATGGCTAGAAAAGTGCGCACATTTGCATTAAACGCGGCACAACATAACAAGAAAGTAATAACAAATAAGTAAACGGCTTGGAACATGAAAGAAAAACAAGCAACGCCAACAACAACATGAAACACACGCCTCCAAGATGAACGAGTAATGAGCAGCAAAGGGGCGTATAGCCTTCAATGAGAAATTATCTGACTTACTTTGAAAGAAGTGGCCCGCAGATGGAGGAGTGTGTGTGGAAGGGTTTTTCAGTGTTCGGTATACTTGTTCTTGTATATGTGCGGGTATGATCCAACTACACTGAGCAACAAAATCAATGGTCGAATGGAGCCCCATATCTAGTATTGGATTTTGAATTGCTGACAATAAGAGTTGGTTACATAAGTAAAATTCGATTTGATTTGTAATGCAATAGACAGTAGAGTGCTTATCAGCATGCCTAGTTGACTGGAGAGAGAGAGAGAGTGCTATCGAATTATTTATTTATTTATTTGACTGTCGACATAGGAAATAGTACATACAAATGATAAAAAGCATCTTATTAGCTAGAAAAGCCTAAGAAGGAGAAATCTAATCAAATTACAAGAATATCTAATTAACGCCTCGGACCCGGTGGGGGAATATTATTTGCCCTTCGGCTAGCTGTGTCCCATCTCACAGCCATGTGTGGTCAGATAAAAAGTGAAAAACTTGACAGAGAGAAGAAGCTCAGAAATACTTAAAAGCTAATTTTAAAAAGAAACAAATATATATTGGAATCTCAGACCCGGTGGGGTAGATTTTATAGCCAGTCCGGCAAGCTACATTAATGATTCAAATTTCTGAATTTCAACGCTTTCTACCACTGCACTATCTATGTTAATCACAGCTGTTAGAAGAATTGAAAAATTCTGAATTTGCCGACAACAATTTGGTCGTTTTAAAAGAAAACTACCCAGTATAGCAAAATTTCGATTTTTGAAGTCTCCAGGCTTTCCACTTAAAATCAAGATGCAGCGTATGGCTGATTAGGGAATCCCCTTTCATTGAGACCCTTCTTTATTTTTCAGTATTATCTATTTTACAACGAAAACATTTCTCATTGCTGCACGGAGTAAATTAAAAATTGAAATTATCACAGTTAAAGAATATTTGCGGAAATAAAGAATATTGTTTGGAGTACTTTCTCGTCTTCGGGTTCTGTTTTGTTAGAGAGTGCCTTTGGGAAAATTTCAATTTTCAGCAGCCTATGAAGACTTTTGCATCCAGCTGAAGATCCAGTTGGGCCACAGCCTTAGCATGATTCAAATTATTTATGCAAAAATGTTCGTAAGCAAACTTAATTTAGTTAAATGTTTAACTTGAAGCACAAGCCAAGATGGGCCAGGCCAGCGTTGATTAAACAACGGGCCGGGGTTATGTGTAAAGGCTTTTCGTCGCGCCTTTTTCGAATATCTAAGTGTGTGTGAGTGTGCGTACGAATATGTGAGAGTGTGGGTGTGGGTGTGGGTGTGTGTGTGGGTGTGGGCGTGGTCTTGTGCGTTATGCAAATAACAACGATTGGCTGCCTGGCAGTCAGTTTGTTTTTTCTTATTATACTTCATACAATTCATTTACTTTGTTGTCCTTTGCCCTGCTGTTTGAGTTTTGTACTTGCGTGTAAACATGCATGATTAAGTTGCAAACGAGCCAAATTTGCATAAAGCAACATTCTATATGGGTGGGAAAGGGAGTAAGGGAGAGAAAGGAAAAGGAAGGGGAGGGGAGCAGTGACTACGCTTTAATGAGCTCTGTTCCATATGCTTCTTAAGGCTCTGCCGTTCTGCTACATTGTGTGGCGTTGCCCAGCGCCATATCTTATCTGTATTTCACACTTTTTAGTCAGCAATATATGCCCCTCCACACCTCCACACCTCCCACCCCACCAGCGTTCATTGTTCGCTGCCAAGTTGCGCTGCCAACTGACCTCCCACAATGGAAAATTTTTGCGCTAGTGCGCACCACACGTGTAAATTATGATGCGAGTCTGTTATTTCACTTTTTAGTACTCCTCAGTGCATATATCTTGTTCCACACAACTACATATGCACCTGTGTCTGTCTGTCTGTCTGTCTGTCTGTCTGTATGGACAGACACATGCACACAAAACGGAGACAGTTGTGGGAGTTTTGCCAAATCGAAGTAAATCTTCACTTGGCGCTGTCGGCTTTGGTGCCGAGGCGAGTTTCTGGTACGCCAGCCGCTGCCAAAAAGCTTACAATTACCGTGATTGTGACTCTGTGTGTGTGTAAGTGTGTGTGTGTGTGGGTGTAGGTGTGTATGTGTGTGTGTGTTGGCAGGTGTGTGAGGAAATGAATGTACGAAGGAATTCCACAAGGCACACTTTGGCGTGTTAAAGCTTTTTATTGTTGCTCCTTTTGTGTTACGGCTTGCTGGCATATAAATCTTATAAATCAAAAGAAATCTCCCAAGGCTGTTGGCCCTACTTTCCAGAATGTAGAACGTTTTTTAAGTTTATGGCACACCAAAGACAGAACATTTGACAATTGGGTAAACATTTTTCAAGCAACTCGCCATCTCAATTCCCTTCCTAAGCACATGTAGCAGATCCGCCTCGCTTATCAACATTTAGGCTCCCAAGTGGGGAATCGTAGAATCATATAAAGTCGTCAACCTGCTAATCCAACTAGAAAACCTGACTCAACTCTTACCCCTTCTTCCTATTACGATTGATGAGATGTGATGATGCTTCGAAGAGAGTCCAAACCGGATTAAATCGAAAATCTCTTGCACTTATAATTCAATGCAATGCTCGTATTTTATTGTTGTAATGGTATTATATTGTTATAATGGCATTAATTCCTTCTACACTTGAATTTCGAGCTTATTGAACTTTATTTCCAATATTTTAATTCCATAGTTCTTGCCGTTATCCACAAATTTCTTAATTTCATCAAGGCTGTCATCTGTGCAAAAGTCGATTTCACATTGACCCTTCTCCTTGGAGTCCTTTCCAGCAATCTTGTTGCA